GCCGAAAGTATTCACTTGCAAAAAACAGTAACATCAAATTATAAATAACGTAGCATAACATCACGCCTTTTATTCCCGAAGGCGTAGGCAGAGGCATTGTAGTGACATTACGGCACGTAATGTCATGTTATATAAAATTAAAACTAACTATTACTCAAATAAAAACTGAAATAAAATTAAAACCAACTATTACTATCTAAATTAAATATATATAACTTAAGATTAAAATTATTTAAAAGAAAAACAAAAAGAAATTAAGTTTTTATTTGAATAAAATCTTATTTTAATTGTTCTGTTGAGTTTTTTTTGAGTATTATGACTGATTCATGCTGCAGGGATTTATATTGCAATGTAATTTATGATTATGAAGACATTCAAATACAATGTAAATTGTTTATTGAATAAATGAAATGAAAAAAAAATGAAATCCACGAATCTGAACTAATGCTGTCATGATCAGTAGTTACAGTTTGTAATAATATTACGAAAAGATTCCAAACGAAGAAAAAAAAATATTACGAAAAGATAAGTAATGTCATTTACTAAATCCATCTTACAATAACACAAAAAAGGCCTAACCTAAACGCTAACCAATAAAATATAATCTCTAAACAATAGTTATTGAGATAAACTTTATCAATAGGTACAATATAATCATTGTGATTTCTCCTTCCCAACAGACGAATACACACAACAAGGCTAGAAGCGGCGGCCGGCAGACGTCTTGAAAAAACAGTGCTCAAATACAAAAAAACAGTGATAAAAAAATGGTGGTCAAAATAGCAACTCAAGTGGCAAACAGTGCAAAAAAGGAAGACAGTTTAGCGAATTTATTGGGGGATTTCGGAAAATGGCAGCTTATAGTTTTCGCTTCAGTGTCTCTAGTGAAACTGAGTTCAGGATGGGTGCAAATGGCAATATTATTCCTTACCCCGAACCTTACATTCCGATGTGCGGATTTGGCAAATTACACCGAGGAGATAATGAACAATACTTGTTATAAAGGATGTGGTAGATATGAATATGACACAAGTCCCTTTGACAACACTATTGTATCTGAATGGGACCTCATCTGCGAGCGGCGATGGCTCGCCAGCTTCAACCAGACGGTGTTACAAGTCGGTATCCTGATTGGCAGTACCATATTTGGATTTTTGTCTGAC